CAGGTAGAGCAAACTCACAGTTCTTCTCAGAAGAAGAAGGGTATTCAGATTCTCTAGACTCCACTGAAACACGAAGCGACTGTAAGTAATAATAAGCTCCAGTCAGTGCTGGAATTCTCTTTATAAATTTGAATCCCATTATTATTCCATTCTTGGCAAATTTGTACCTGGTTATTATTCCATTTTACTAAGGTGTTTCAAAAATCTGAAACAAATAGTAACCTAGTTTGGGGATTTCCTTAAAAAAAAAAAGAACAAAAAATAAATAAGAAAAGAAGGGGTGAAAAAAGCATTAAGTAAAATCTAGCTAATTGGCTGGAATCATGGGAAAGATTTCATGACCTCTGGTGTATACAGAAAGAGATAAGCCTGTTAGCAAGAAGAAAAAAAATGTCATTTAAAAAAAAAACGAAAGCAGGGAAATAAGAGATTTTAAAGTTTCCTTTACTGCTGGTTTTGTTTTCTTTTCCTTTTGTCTCATTTGTTCATTGATCTGAGTTTGGGAAGGTTTGGGAGGTACACAGAAATAATAGGGCCAAGGGTGAAAAAAACGCAGCAATGATACTAGACTCCATGTTGAAAATGGTCTATACAACTTATCGGTGGGAGATAGAAAGGACAACTGGGAGAGAGGTATGAAAGAAAATGTCCAAAAAGAAATGTACTCTTTATCTGACTTATGTAACTGTAACCCCTCTGCACATAACCTTACAACAACAATAAAAATGAAGGCATATTTTCTCTCATATGTGGAAGTTAGATCGAAATTATAAATACATAAATGTTTATATATACATAAAGATAGAGGCTCATATATACATAATATGCAAACATGCTATATAAAGTATGATTTGTGCAGGGAAGACTGCAATAGTGTAACTCCCTTCAACAACTAACTTGCAGTTTAACGAATACCAGAAACGAATACCAGAAAACTAGAATTAGTGGCATTGGTGGCAGGGGAGGGGAGGGGAGATTAAGTTAATAAAGAAAGGAAGGATAGGCAAATGCAGTCATAATATCCAATTTATACATATATGAAAATGGCAGTGGGTAAATTGAGGAAATGGGTAGGGATGATACAGATGGGGGTGCAATGATGGAAAAAGTGACATTGACAAAGATGCATTATACTTATAAACTCATATGTTGAACTGAAACCTTTGTGTATAGCTACTTAAAGATAACTTCAAAAGGAATAAATAATGCATATTAACTTTCTAAAAAGACGTAACCAGACGACAAAAAAAACTCTTTAACATGGAAAGAAAAAAATTAAAACAGTGCTGGGTAGGTGGCTCAGTAGTAGAGTGCTTGCCAGCATGCATGAGGCCCTGAGTTTGATTCCTCAGCACCACATAATCAGAAAAAGCCGGAAGTGGCACTGTGGCTCAATTGGTAGAGCACTAGTCTTGAGCCGAAGAGCTCAGGGACAGTGCGCAGGCCCACAGTTCAAGCCCACAACCGACCAAAAAATAAAAATAAAAAACAGTCCTATTAGAATTAAAATTTGAGACATAATTTAAATGAAATTTCTAAAGATTTATCAAAGAACTAAAATACAGGCAAATAATTTGAGAAATTAAGCAACAGAAAATGACCACTTTTAAATTTCTTGTTAAAGTGCCATGATAATCAAAACTCACATCACTGTAATTATTTTTAATTTTAACCTTAATTTTCTGTGGACCATAAAGGGTACCTTCTGTTGAACTATCACGCACTTACTTGTTGGTCACTAATTTCCATGGCTGGTTGACACTAACAAAATCTGTTGCAGACATATCTTCTTTTAACACATACACTTTTTATTATGATTATCAGATAGTTGTTCAAGTGGGTTCAATTTAACATCTCCATTTCTGAGAAGCAACAATATCTCTTATGTATTAACATCATTGAGTATACTATGCAGGTATTTCTAGATTGCTTCAGCATAGAGTTGCTTTATTATTCTCATTTTTCTCCCCTTAAAGATGCTTAGCAAATTAAGAGAACTGAATTCTAGTTCGTATGACAACTCGCTAGATACATCTCATTAATCTCTGCAGGCCCCACATCTCATAGAGAACTTTCATCTGTCTTCTTACCACTGGCATCATTCTTGTGAATTAAACGTTTTTATTTCTTTGTTGGACTCATAAAGAGTTTCTGAAGGGAGCAGACATGTTTATTCTGCTCTGTATAATTAGAAGTTAGAAACAGCACAGCCACAAAATTGTTATGAGAACAAAATCTGTTGTGTATATGAAAGCCTTATGTGTGTATCAGTCTAATACCCATAATAACACAGTATTTTTACACACGTTTCTTCAGAAGTTAGTCACAGATAAATACAAGTGAGATTTTATTAAAGCACTTACCCAGCCAACCCTGGATTTCACACACACTCCATAGGTAAGGTCTCATCCCCATTAGATTTGCATCTGGTTACTTGGAATTTTTAGAATGAGGAAACATTACTTACAAAAATCTCTTTAAATATGTTTTAAGTATCAAAAGCTCACTCAAGGTATGAATCATGGAATAAGATAATGATTTGTTCACTCCAGGATTTCCAATCCAGCAAGAATAAACAAATACAAATCTACAAATAGTACTGAGCCATGGCATGTAATTCAAGTGCTATGACTGTTGGGGAAAAAAAAAAAGAATGGCTAAAATCCAGAGCACTATTAACACCAAATGCTGGCAAGCATATGGAACGACAGGAACTCTTATAGCTGAGGTGGACAGTCACTGGAGAAGACAACCTGGGAGTTTCTGAAAACATCGTTATGCAACCCAACAACTCTGAGCTTGGCATTTGCTCTAAGTAGTTGAAAAAGTATGTCCCCATAAAAATACATACTTGGATCTTCATAGAAGCTTTATTTATAATTGCCAAAACTTGGAAGTACCCAGATGCCCTGTAGATGTGAACTGATCAATGAATGCTGGTATATCCACACAAGAGACTTTTAATTTTTTATTGTTGAATTAGAATACAATAATAATCTGAGGGGTTTCATTATGATCCATAGTAGATTCTGAACAAACTAACTCTCCATTACATTCCCATGCTTCCTCCCCTGTCTTTCAGACAATGTCATTTTATTCAATATTGAGAAGGAAAGAACTATTGAGCCAGAAAGAATGGAGGAAACTTTAATATATATTATAAAGTCAAAGAGGCCAAACCAAAAAGGGCTGCATACTGTATCATTCCAACTGTATGATATTCTGGAAAAAGCAAATAAAAAATAAAGGAAAATCAGTGGATACCAGGAGTTAGTGTGTGTGGGGAGAGTAGAAAGTGATGGATGGGCAGAGCACTCAGAATTTTTAAAGCAGTAAACCTACTCTAGGTTATATTACAGTAGTGGGAGAAAGTCATTATAAATTTATAACTGTTAGCAATAAACTCCTTCCCATAACTTAGCATTCTCCTTCCCCTTTCTACAGGTTGGCTCACTCCCTTCCTAAGCAACACTAGGCCCATTTAGTAAAGGCAGTAAGTAATCATCCTCCTACCCTCCCCCCCCCCCCCCGTTTACCTTGGGATGATACTTCTCTTGGGCAGCTACCACCATATAAGGCATCAAAAGCCTTTTAGAGTGACCTTCAGGTCTGGGCAGCTGCAGGACCCCTTATCTATTACTTGGGCAGCAGCCATAAACCCTAGTCAGCCATGATGAAGCCGCTGGCCCACACGTCCACACCAGGGTCTCTACCTCTTAGCCCCTCTAGCCTCTCCTAGCCTCAGTAGGTTATATAGGTCATCTCAGACAAGGGCTGGTGCTTCTTCTCACTTCACAGGGCTAGAATCATAGCCCTGTGTTAAAGATGGAATACATCAGGATGGAGGTGGATGTAAATGGACCAGTTTAGATGCCACTATATTACTCAGGCAAGAATTAGTGGTGAGTCCCTCATAGCACAGATAGGGTAGTAAGAGACCTTTAGGGACTAGATATCTTGTGATAAGATTTCCTTATGAAATTGTTGTAGGGATTAACACAAAGAGAAAAAGCAGTCCGTTAGCCTGAGCAACTGGAAGGTTGCAGTTAAAATTAACTGAGATGGGTAAAACTTGGGCAAAACATCTTTTAAAAAAGATTAGGAGTTCAGTTTGGTCAAGTTAATTTTGAGATATCTATCACCAAGTGGCTATGTTAATATTTGCACACATTTCTTAGAATTTTTTGTCTTTTTCCTTCGGATGGATCCTGCCACGATATAACATGAATGTATCTCTTCTATAGTGTCTTTAATAAGAACAATATCTGGTGCCAAATTTTCTTACCATAGTGTTGGAGTTATTGCCAAGCCTGAGAGCCCATCAGACATTCACACAAACAAAATGAAAACCCTCCCCTTTCTACATAGAGGCATTGCACATCTTCTCTGTCTTAGGGAATCTCCTATTTCTAGCTATACTTTCCTTCTTCCCTAAGACTCAGTGATAAAACTTCCTGAAGTAAAATTCATAATATTTACCTCCTCCCTTTTATTTATCCTTCTCCCTTCAAGTTCAAACTGATTCCTCCTTTTTGTATTCTATCTGCTCCTTGTAACTCAAATATTCCCTTTCTGTTTCTAGAGCTAAATATGTCTCCATCTCCTGTTGGGCCATTATTAAATTATATGATTTTTATTGACTCACCACTACAAGAGAAGTCCAATTAATGTAGAAATACTGCTGGGAACCCTTGGCTAATGCCTGAAATTCTTGCTAGCTACTCAGGAAGCTGAGAACTGAGGATCACAGTTTGAAACCAGTCTGAGCAGAAAAATCCATGAGACTCTTATCTCCAAAAAACCATTAAAAAGCTGTAAGTGTGTGTGTGTGTGTGTGTGTGGCTCAAGTAGTAGAGCCTTGAGAAGAAAAGCCAGGTCAGAGGGAAAAACACTGAGTTTGAACTCCAATATACCCCACAAAAATTATCTATTGGTGTGTCTGTCTGCCTGCCTGCCTGCCTGTCTGCCTGCCTGCCTACCTGCCTGCTGCCTGCCTGCCTGCCTGCCTGTCTGCCTGTCTGTCTGTCTGCCTGTCTGTCTATTGGGGGGTAGGTAGATAGCTAGGTAGATAGACACTGGGGCAGAAAAAAATTGTGTAATATTGTGGAAAATATTCATAACACTGTTTAGTTCCTATATGAGTACTAATGAAAAAGTATTAACTTGGTTGTATGTGTAGCATGGAAGTGATAGGTCAAGTCTACTAATTCATGATTCAGACACTGTCATTATAAAATGATTTTTCTGCATTCATTGTTTGTTTCCCTTGTCCTTTACATGAAAGTCATAGTTCTCCAGGAGCCACTCAGCTAAAGATGATCTGGATTAAATGTGAATTATCAGACACCACTTTGAAAGAATTGTTGCTAAACTTTATTTTTAACTGTGTGTATCTATTTGTTTGTTTTTGTCTTTTCTTTTTGGTATGGGGGATCAAACCCTGGACATGGCACTTGTTAGTTAAGTGCTTTGCCTCTGAGCTATATTCCAGTCTAACTTAGATATTTTTGAACTATAAATATTCTTAATACTCTCAGTTGATGATCCCCATCTATAGCTGGCTTGTTTTTGTAATTTCTTCATAGGGAGGTGGAGAATCCAATGTACCAAAACAGGGAACAGGGTACAGGTCATGGTTCTGAGTGTGAAGGTGAGCTCCAACAGTTGGCCTCACAGCTGCTTCTGTCCCTGGGGAAGAAAAGATGGAGAAAAGTAATCTTTCTAGTCCGCATAAAACAGAAGTGTATGAACTGCCTGATGATATTGGGCATTTCTTGGCTCACTGAAGCAACAGAAAATTACTTGTACCTAAGGTTTGCAATCATCTTGCTCTCTGCAGTGTTAGCCTAGTCATGATAGCAAGAAAATCTCTTACAATGAACTCATTATACTAACCACTGGGGAGCATTCACAGTTGAACATCTGAAATTAGAGAAAATCCTCTCTCAGGGATCAAAAAAGCAGATTCCTCTGAACACTAATATAATTTTAGCTCATGTTCCCACCCTAGAAAATGCAAATCTCGCTAGAAACCTTAACATGTTATTCAACATTAGTACTTTTACTTATGGTATGATCACAGATTACAACACATGCAAATGGGTTTTCTTTTTACTGGGGGTGGGGAGGTGTTGTTGTTTGTTTTTGTCTTATGTTTTGCTGATACTGGGGCCTGGCTTCAGGACCTCATTTGGCTTTTTTACTCAGGTCTGGTGTTCTACCGCTTGAGCTGTATCTCCGCTTCTGCCTTTTTGCTAATTAATTGGAGATGAGTCTTGTGGACTTTCTTTACTGGGCTGGCTTAGAACTACAATCCTCAGATCTTAGTCTCTTGACAAGCTAGGATTGCAGGCTTGAGTAACTAATCCTGGGAAACAAATAATCTAAATATCTCCTTTTGATGAATACTAAGTATTCTATTTAAAATATGCCATATAACTTTTAGAAGATACTCTGCAGAGTAAAATGCTACTTTGAAGTTAAGGTTTCTAACATTTTGACTATTTACAATAAAGCCATTCAATAAAAAACAAATGAACAACAACAACAAAAAAAACTAGCCTTCTCATTCCAAACTTGTCACCTTGAAAGACCTTGCGTTTATTCCAATAGCCCTCCTTGAAAAACTACTTTAATGTCACACAAGCAATCAATACTAATATTTCCTAGCCCTCTTTTTTTATATACATTTTTTTACCCTGATCTTTTCTTTAATATTTTTGATTGCTTCTTCCACAAACAGTAGCAATAATCTTAAATTCACCTTTACAAGAGAAAGCCCTTGAACTAAATCTAGCCTTTGACTGCTTCTGTATGTTAAGTTTAATTGGAACACAAACATACTCAGTCATTTACATATTGATTGTGGCTGCGGTTGAACCACAGTGGCAGAGGTGAATAGTTCCTGGTTCTCCAGAGACTATAAGGACTGCAGGCCCAAAATAGCCTCTTCTGTTTTTGGAGAGAAGAATTTGGCTGACATTCCTTAAAGGATTAAGATTTGCTAGTTCTTCAAAAATTCCAAAGAACCTGCCACAATTACTAAAAATATTCAGAATATTAGCTTTTAGGCATAGCTGTATCACTGGAATTCCATTTGCACATCACTCAAAATGGTTATTTTGGAAAATGATAAGTTAGTATAAATTGTATTTGCCTTGCTTGTTGTTTTTCTGGTTCTCAGAGAAAATTGTGATCAAATATTATTATAGTATGTGAAGGATAAGTGCTGTATTTGGGATGTAAACTTCAGCTCTTGCTCCATTACTTTGCTTACCTTTGTTTTATCACATAGCATATATTTACCTCAGTTTTCTCTGATGCAACAAAAGGCTACTTAATTGTATTTTCCTCTGTAAGAGTAGTAAGTGAATGCAATGTTTAAGACCTACCACACAGTAAAGTTCCATTCTTCTTCTTATAATATTATATGGGAATTCATTCTAGCGAAACAGAGAAACTACATTTTGAGAGGTCAAATTGGGAGTCTTTATTAGAAAGCCAGTGACTGGTCCCAAAGACCTGCACTCCAGAAAGTAGCTTCCACAAAGCTTTTAAAGGCAAATACCACATGATGGGGTAGGGGATAATCAAAGGGGAGTAAGGCAAACTATCTCAGGCCAAATAGCATGACATATCTGCATCTGCAATTCAATGAATGGCCTACTCACCTCTAGGCTTTTCAGAGCTGGGTGAATAGTCCCCACCACTCAGCAAGGTGAAGTTACTTAGACCCAGTATCCTTATTTCAGTATAATTAATTAAGAATATGTGACTGATAGGCATGAATTTTTTCTTTTATATTTATCCTATTTTAATGGTTAAATCATGATTAATTATTGTTGCTATCATCATTATTAGATATAATAGAAATAATTACATAAACCATACTATGGAGTAAAGCCTTTGGCAGATTTTAAGTTTAGGCACATTTCAAGGCTATGTCACTTGATTAAGCAGAGTTAACAGTGATAAAGTTCATTGTTTCATGTGAATTTTTTTTTCTGTCAGTTGTGGGGCTTGAACTCGGCCTTGGCACTGTCCCTCAGCTCTTCAGCTCAAGATGAGTGCATCACCACTTCTGGTTTTGTGGTGGTTTATTGGAGACAAGAGTCTCATGGACTTTCCTGCCTGGGCTGGCTTTGAACCGCCATCCTCAGACCTTAGCCCCCTGAGTAGCTACCATTAAAGGTGTGAGCTACTGGCACCTGGCTGATTTTTTCTTTTTCATTTTTGGTATGTTTGAGCCAGTCTTAGAGCATGAACTCAGCATCTGGAAGGTGTCCCTTAGCTTAAAAAATAATTTATTTTTTATTGTAAAAATTATGTACAGAGGTTACAGTCACTTAAGTCAGGTGGTGAGTAAATGTCTTTTTTTTTTTTTGTAGGTTGTGGGGCCTGGGTGCTGTCCTTCAGCTCTTCAGCTCAAGGCTAGCACTCTACCACTTGAGCCATAGCAGCTTCTTCTGCTTTTATGGTGCTGAGGAATCAATTCCAGGGTCTCATGCATGCAAGGCAAGCACTCTACCACTGGGCTACCTTCCCAGCCCCTACATTTCTTTTTAAATAGTCACCACTTTCCTCTTTTTCTCTTAGTTTTGTCCCTCCCAACCTCCTTTCCCCACAAGTTGTATAGTTCAAAATAGTATCTAGAGTGTGCCACTGCTGTATTTGTTCACCCTTTGTCCCACCATTTCTGTGCTTCCCCTCTACCTCCCCCAAACAATTAACTTACATACAAAAGGTTCAGAAATTCTAAAAAAGCAGCAACAAAATACAAAAAACAAAAATAACAAAAAAACCCTTGTTTCCATTTTTTTGGAGTTCATTTTATATGATCATATTCACATAGCTATTCAGCTTGTGTAATCCTCTCCTAAGAGTATTCTCCTTTGGTTTCACTGTGAATGTCTAGAGTCTGTCTCATTTATCATGTAAACACCATGGAGGGTAAAAGACAAAAAATTATACTTGTCCCCCAGACTTGTTCACAGTTAATTCCCTACCAGTTGAGCTACAGCTCCACTTTCAGCATTTTGGTGATTGAAGGCATCTAAGAATCTAACAGACTTTGTTGCTGGGCTGCTTCAAATGGTGAACTTCAGTTCTCAGCCTTCTGAGTAACTAAGATTACAGGTATAAACCTGGCCTCCATGATGAATTCTTATATTGAACACTGGCTATTTTCCTGGCAGACTGCTTCTGATATAGGCAATACAAAGTCAATAGTAATTCACCTAGCATTTTGCCTAGAAGTGGTTGATCCATTGGATTTACACACTTATTTTTTGCTGCAGTATCAATTTATTTCCAATGCCAGTATTATCAGTATGATGCACCAGGTGATAGTACCTTTACAATTGCTCTCTTTGGTAGAAAATTATATTATCTGCTTCCTATAAATGTTGCTGATGCTTTTAGACCTATTATAAATACTATACTATATAACAAATCAAGATGTTCAGAAAGCTTTTAGAAATTGAAAATACAACTATTTTCAATTTTTTCAAAGCATGTTTACGTGTCATTTTATTTGAATTGGGTTAGGGAAATCAGGCTTTTTTTTTTATCTTTTGAATGGTTAAGAACTATAGCTAAGTATAGTTAAGAGAACTCAAATTAAAATGCTTGCCCAAATTGTGTGTTTTTCCAGAGCTGTCAGCTAAGACATTATGCCAGTATACTTTCTACTGAGGTTATATAGCCAGAATTCAACTTCCTCATGCTATTAAGAACAAATCCAGATGGCTTTTGCCTGTAATCCTCATTTTGGAGGTGGGGATTAGAATTCCAGTTCTCAGCTACAGTGGAAAAGTCCAATTCACCACCAAAAAGCTAGAAGTGGAACCAGGGTTCAAGAAATAGAGCATTAGTCCTTAGTGAAAAAGCTCAGGGACAGTGTCTAGGCCCTAGGTTAAGGGTTATCTCACACACACACACACACACACACACACACACACACACACACACACACACATTCCAAGAGATTTGTCTTATTATGCTTTACTAGGACCACTTTGTTCTCATCTCTGTTTTCATACCCTCAGGTTTGTAACTCTCTTGTTCCAGCCTTCCAAGTGTTAAGATCCCAGGCGTATGTCCCTGTACCTACCTGATTATACTTTCCTTTATTATTTTTTAAAAAAATCCTATCCTTTCTTACATATGGGAATGCTTAAATGGTGGGATGCTGTCACACCTTTGCTATCTACTCATCGCTGTTTTCTAGATAGGCCTACATTTCCTCATCAGTACTGTGTTAGGAATGATGATAAATGCCCCACAGACTTGTAGGGGAGAATAAAGATTTGAGATTTGTGGTATGATTCAATGTAAATGCTCAATAAATCTGGACCATGAATATTGTCATGTCCTTTCACAAATGTGTGCGTATGAATTCCTCCCTTTGTTTACCTAAAATAAGTTACAGGCTACTTACATATAATTATAACATGTAGGGGAAAGTTCTCTAAAGGAGCATAAAATGAGTCAGTTGTGGGAATTCTGGAGGGAGAAAGGAGCAGTGCATGAGGGTCCACTCTTCTTAATCATCTCTCTTCAGTCCTCTGTTTCCCCCATGCTCAGAGCCATCACATTTAATCACAGCCAGAAGATCAGTCTTTCTATATATGCTTTGCTAAAATGAGGTAAAAGGCAAATTATCTCTGCAATTGCAGACGAAATGGGGTCAGGGAGCTTTGGCCGTTGAAAAGCAGCATTGTCAGGGATGTTGGCCCAGAGAAGCTAAGCCAAGATGAGTGTCCCTGGGACAGTGTTTCTGGGCTTCACCTTGCTCTCTGCTCGGGAAAGGCAGGCACTTTTGCAGGGATTCAGGGCTCCAGCTTTCATCCACAAAGCACATGAAAGAACTCCCACAGATTTTAGAGTCATTTTTTTTTTCTGAAGTACTGACAAACTACAGTGAGGTCTTTCTGCTGTGCTCTTTCTACTGAACATTAAATTGTCTACCTCCAGCCTTGCTTGTCTTTTCATTCACCTCCCATACCAAACCCCAGGTATCTTATTTAGTTATTTACTTATTTGCTTACTTACTTAATTAGTGCCTGAGTGCACTCCCTCAGCTTTTTTTTTTCTCTCAAGGCTAGTACTCTACCAGTTGGGCTAGTGCTCTAGCACTTCTGGCTCTTTGTAGGTTAATTGGAGGTCAGACTCTTATGAACATTCCTGCCAGGGCTAGCTTTGAATCACCATCTTCTGATCATAGCTTTCTGAGTTTCTAGGAATACAGGTATGATCTGCTGGTGCCCAACATAAATCTGTGGGTTTTGATTATTTATTATTTAGAAGAGATTCCAAAATTCTTATTTAAATAGATGAAGTATTTGGAAGAAAACAACAACAATGAAAAGAGAAATCATTTTACTCCTAATACAGGCTCTGGACAAAACACCTGAATAATTTCATAATTATTCCTGTCTGATGATTGAAGAGATCAGGAAGAAGTCAGAAGCTATTGTATGCATTGTTCCACTCAGGTAGACATAGGACATTGAGTGGACTTCCCATAGGTTATAGCAGGGATGATCATGGGGATTGTATTGTATATAGAGGATAAGTGGTACTTGTATAAGGGATGGGTACTAAAGACAGGGGGACTAAGAGGAGATTCTGGAGCATGGTATTGAAAGAACATGTAGACTTGACCCAGAAAATATCAAGAGAGACAAGTGGGAGGTAAGCTTAGAGATCCTAGAAAATAAACGCCATTTCAATTCTAGTTCTTAAAATATCTCTTATCTTTAAAGTGTAATAATCTTCTCTCCTTGCTCTTTATCTTCCTTTGTTCTCTGCAATCTCAACTTCCTTGTGACCTTCCTTTTTGTTTCTCTCTCTACCTATGCCTCTTCCCCCTTAATCCCTATGGAAGGTGTGTCAGAGTCATCTAGGGCTGCTGTAACAAAGTTTCAAAGACTAGGTGGCTGGCTATAGCAATAGAACTTTATTTTCCCCAAATTCTGGGTCTAGATTTCCAAGATCAATTATCAGCAGAGTTGGTTTCTTCTGAGACCTATGTCCTTGCCTTAGAGATGATAACCTTTCACCTTGCATCTTCCCCTGTGTCTTTTCTCTGTGGCTATGTGCTTATCTTATCGAGATGCCAGTCAACTGGGTTACCTTCCATCCTAATTACCTAATTTTTACTTAGTTCACTTTCCAAGGTTCCTGTCTTCAAATATTGTCATCTTCTGAAGTACTGGGCTTTAGGACTTGAGTATATAAATTCAGTGGGCTACACAACTCACCCGATAGCAGTACCAATAGAAGGACATTCATGGAAATAAAGAGTTCTCTCATAACATATTTACACCTAGGTAATAACTGAGTGAAATAAGTGCCAGAGTCTCTTCTACTGAAAACAATAGCTGAACAGGGAAACTCCTAAACCCAGAATCCATCATTCAAACATGTAAAGGCTATGAAGAGAACACAATCCAGTTGTCTGAACACTGAATCATCAAAACACTGCAAAAATTGGCAAAGTCACTAAGTGCTGGTGGCTCATACCTATAATCTTAGCTACTCAGGAGGCTGATACCTGAGGATCGTGGCTTCAAGCCAGCTGGGGGAGGAAAGTCTGTGAGGCTCTGCAATTAACATCCAGAAAACCAAAAGTGGCCCTGTGGCTCAAGTGGTAGAGTGGTAACTTTAAGCAAAAAGAGCCCAGGGACAGCACCCAGGTACAGAGTTCAAGCCCCAGGACTGGGAAAAATAATGGCAGTCATTGGTCCAGAAGAGGCTATTGGATAAGGGGTATTTGGCTCAGATCTGAAAAACCTTTTATAGACCTGAATTCCCATCAGACATTAAGATAGTCTGAGCTGGCAACATCTCCCTTAAGCACCTTTTATGAGGATGCCAAGCCAAGTAGTTAACTTTTTTTCATTAGTATTTTTAATCAAGATAATTGGAAACATTAGCCATGTAATATTGGCATGAATTGCTACTTAGATAAACCACCTATTTTATATATTTTAGCATTAGTAAAGTTCACTCAACTCTACCCTTGACAATTCAGTTGAAGATTTCATTTTGGCTCTCTTTATTTAAGGGCAATTTCTATATGGTTCTCTGAGTCAAATCTCTGAGCTGTAGGTCAGAGGAACACAACTATTTCAACTGATTATTTAACACATAGTGATATTAAAGTGAAATAACTTTGGAGGAAATAAAATAAAAGTCTGGGAGGACCCTAAGGTGAATACATCAAATTTAATGTCTCCATTAAAATATTTGAAATGACCTATTACCTATATTCTGCATGCTTGGAGAATGTCTTGACTTCCCTTTTATATGCAAGAGAAGGCAAAGACTAGGGATGAAGCCCTACTTCATATTCTCATATATCACGAGTGCCATTGAAGTGATTTCTCATTTTTCTCTCCCTCTTCTAAACAGGAAAACTCAACAATAGATCCCCCAAATTCAGTATTTCCATGTACCACACACACACACACACACACACACACATACACACACATATACACATATATACAAACACATACAAAATATACATATTCCTCAGTAGCTGGACTTTATCTGAGAAGCAGTAAATTTTTTGTGAATATTGATCTTTTGACCCTTACTTGCCTCTACCCACAATAGGATCCAGGAATGGTCCTCTATCTTCCCTCTGAAGAGGGACTTTTTGTTATAGAAACATTAGGGAGGACGTGAATGCATAAAGGAGAATCTAGTCATGACTGTGAATCCAGTGTGGGTTCGTATTTCAGATTGCTCTAAATATTGCTCATGGAGTTTGATTCCTGAGACAGAGTTTGGGAGAATTGAAGGATCACAGAGAATAACATTTTCTAAATTACTTTTTTAAACTTTGGTTTTGGATAATGGAAACAGGAATTTCATGTTCTGGGGTAACATTTGCTCTAAGGCTATGTGAATTGTTTGTTACTAACTTAAATGCATATTGTGCATCCTTTTTACAGGATAGTGAAGTAGCTCAGTGGTTGGATAGCCTACATGGCCAGAGAAGAAGATGAATAGCAAGGAATAACTACTTCAGTGGCCTTCAAGTAAGATGGTAATAGAAGATAACATTGTAAGAGTCTATATATTTCTTAATAAAAATCAAACTCAGAGGCTATACCTGGGACTGGGAAGAAAAGGAAGAATGAGGAGGGAAACAAAGACTAGAGCCCAATTCCTGTTATTAAGGAAATACATATGGTCATATTTGTTCAGAATAGGAGAGTATATTTTATGTTCAAGAAGGAGCTATTTTGTTCATGAATTCACAACCTAATTTTTTTTATTACATTCTTACCTATATATCTGTGAAGTTAACTTACATAGAAAAGGTGTGTGTGTGTGTGTGTGTGTGTGTGTGTGTTTGTATGCATGTGTGCTTATCAGAAGAGTGCAGTAATAGATAACATCTTCCATAGGAAATAATTACCAACTTCTAAGTTTATAGTTAAGAAACAGAGGTAGTATGGAAAAAGTCTGAATCTACTTCCTGAAACTTGAGAGGTATAAAATAAATGACGTGGATATAGATTTTTAAAGAAAACAATGTCTTCCTAAGTATGTTCTTGTTTTCAAAGATTGTAGGATAATATATAGAAGGTGATTTAATGTCCAACACTCATTGCTATGATATACAGATTATTGAAATAATATTAAAGGAGTCCCCTTTTATTTTACACTCATCACTCTTCAGGCTGGTGCACCCTGTAGGAAATACACAAAGGCTAGACAAATACATTCATCACTGTGGCACATAAACTGCTTTAGAAATTATTACAACAAAGCTGGGATTTATTTCAGCTGGGGTCTCCTTTCTTATAACGTGTTCCTGTGTAAACCCCTTTGAGAGACACCCCTTTGGTGTCTCTCATAAGTTGTGAATTGTTCAAGGTTCACCAATGTGCTTGACAGAGGATAGTTTTTTTTAGATTTCTAAGAAGAATCCATAAAACACCTTACCATAAATGGGGTCCAAATCTCCAATAGCGAAAACTGCCCTGGTGCGTCTCCGGGAGTGAATGGTAGGTCCCTTCAGCCAGCACTGGAAACAAAAGAGGACCACCCCACAGAGAAGAGCCACCAAGAAAATCAGCAGTAGAAACCTGACATCAAAAATAGCAGGTGGGAAATGAAGCAGGACATGTGCCAAGTTAAGAGTTCATAGTACCACCTTGAAAGTGGACAAGAAAGGCTCTGCTAGATCAGGGCAAGCAAACTGGGATGCTTAACTCCCATTACCATACATTGCTACTGTACTTGGAGTATTGCTGGTCCTCAGAGAAGGATGCCATTGTCAAGTGGTGATAATCATTTGTTTCTTCAAATCTTGAAGGTCATTCCCAAAGTTAATTTCTTTCCTTCCTTCCTTCCTTCTTTTTGCTTCCTTTTTTATTCTTCCTCTTTACTTTCAAGTTTATATCCATTAGTTCAGCTTGTGTTTCAGCAATATATGTGCATATGTATTGTTGGTGTGGGTCTTGAACTCAGGGCCTTGGTGCTGTCCCTGAGCTCTTTTGCTCAAGGCTAACATTCTACCCCTTGAGCCACAACACCATTTTAAGGTTTTGAGTGGTTAATTGGAATTGAGGCTGGGAATGTGTCTTAGTGGTAGAGTGCTTGCCTAGCATGCACGAAGCCCTTGGTGTGATTCATGAGTACCACATACACAGAAAAATCCGGAACTGGTGCTGTGGCTCAAGTGGTAGAATGATAGCCTTGAGCAAAAGAAGCTCAGGGGCAATGCCCAGGCCCTGAGTTCAAGCCCCAGGACTGGCAAAGAGAGAGATCTTTGCCTCCAGAGAGAGTGAGAAAGAGAGAGACAGAGACAGAGAGAGACAGAGAGATAAACAGAGAGAGACAGAGACAGACAGACAGACAGACAGACAGAGAGAGAGAATCTTAGCTTGCTGAGTAGCTAGGATTAAAGATGTGAGCCACTGGTATCCTGGATAAGTTTACATATTTTAGATGTTAGGACAATGATTTTCAAAGGTAGATAAGATAGGTGTCTGCCTTTGATAGTTAACTATAAATTGATAGGACTGTTCAACACAAAAATCAGGATTTGGAAGTCAAAAAAAAACAAACTTTCTGGACTCTGTCATAGAAGAAGTAGCTACTTGTTCTGAACAGCTTTTATAGCTGAGCTATATCACGGGAGGAATCATTTAGAAACATTTTAAAGAGTCAATTATTACCAATCTCCAAATCTGGAGTTAACTCTTACTTTCAAAAACAGTTGGTTCCCTGCCGCAGAAAGTGTTTAAGCAAACACTGGCCAACACTCTCTAGCTTGAAAGGGATATTCTTCAGATATTGATTTACATCACCAGTAAAATTTCCTTATGCTATGTGTAGTCTCAAATTATTTTGGAAAATAATCATACATTGAATTGTTTCATAAAAGGAATCAAATATATTCTTACCAGATGTACCACATATTAGGACGCTCATCGTTGTAATTTATACACCTGATGATATAGAAAGAGCAGTAAGTAGTAGAACTCTATCTGGCTAAAACTTATCTCTCTGGGAATATAAAATTTCTACTCATCACATCCATCCCCTCAGAAGAACCACCTACTAATCCTCCCTACCCCCCACCTACATTTACCTTTATAGATGTAAGTTTGAATCTAGTAGGTAGATAGACAGATAGATCTACAGTAGTAGATTAGATTCTAAAATTAAAAATGTTGTTATGTAAGATGTGAACAACAGAACAACATTTTAGAACAGCATGTCATAAGTATTAGGCAGATAATCATACTCCCATTCTCTTTATTTAGGTCGCTAGGGTTCTTTGCAATAAAAATTTTCCATGGAATGCTTATAAACCTTATTAACCTTTAGTATCTTGGTAGAGAATAAAAGTATTGAACAGTTGGTTGCTTTCTGGTTAAATAATTTGTAAGATGTTAGGTGTGTGTGGGGTGGGGGTGAAAGAAATAGTTATATATCCCAATTACCAGAGATCTGGAAATTTGTCTCTTTGGTCCAAAAGATTGAATGATTTGTGACTAGACATTCACAACTCTGTCACTACTGAAGTAAATTTATAAAGAGCATATAAAAAGTTGACAATGGGTTTAACTGGTCAGTTAATAGAGATGTGCATGTTGTGAACCTAAGAGTTGTTCTGCACTGAATGGACATCTGCAGGCTGATTTCTCTCAAATCTCAGCATCTGCCCACCATTACTGCACCCTGAAGTTGAACAGTGAATGCCTGTTTATCACAGCCTTGGAGACAGAGCTATGCTCAATCATGCCTTCCTCAGCCATTGTTCATAACACTTGGTGCTTTTTAGCTTGAAAGCATTCGCAGATATCAGTTAGTGTATTGCTCCAAGCATCTTCTCTGGAAGTGTCACATCTATCATTATCCTAGTTAGAAGAGAGAGTTTTTAACATATGTGAAGTGTCAATCTATTTTTTTCCCCAAACACTGAAGAGACAAGCCATTCATTCAGGCCAGGAGATTTTCTTCTTTTGTTTTTTACATTTGAATTTTGAGCCCCTAGAAAGATTAGCAATGTTCTTAATTCAAAGTGGCTAAGGAAAAAGAAGACAACCCAAATATAACTTTAAAAATCATCTTAACATAGGCTACTCTCACTAGGAGAGTTTATTTTTGTTTTTAACTAAATTATGTAACATATGCTTTGAGATCAATCATACTATATGACCCAGGCTGGCCTCGAACTCATGATCTTCCTGCCTTAATCTCTACTGTGATGAATTTATGAGCCCTAGCAATAAGGGCTCTAAAAAATTAATGGCATAACATTATAAGGGAATATTATCTACCTATCAAAAGGAATATACATTTATGCTTATAATTAGAATTCCTGGTTAAAAAAAACACAATCTAAAGAGCTCATTCTTACATTTTTACACAAATCCAATAATTTAACCCCCCAAACCTATTAATTAATATGAATATACAATTAAATACAAATGCTTATTTCTCTTGGAGATAGACGTAGGAGTAATTTTCCCTTTTAAAATTTTTGTATTATAACTTTTTAGTATATATATATATATATATATTACTTTTTTTTTTTCAGAGCTGAGGACTGAAGTCAAGGTATTGCACTTTTTAGGCAAGTACTATTCCACTGAACTAAATTTCCAACCCTTATACATCACTTTTGTAGTACAGGAATCCACACACAGTTCTTAAATTAAAAAAAAATCTTAAAAACCCACAGTCTATTAGTTATAGAAGCATATAGGGAATATGTTTTGGATCCTGGCCGCAATAAATTTTTAGTTTTGAATCTTGACTTGGAAGGCTAAGGCTGTCCATTATTTCATCTCCTTCAATATATAAATCTGTTTATTTATTTTTACATATGAAGGAGGTCCATATAGCAATATAAATTTCAAGTTCTCAGTAACTCATTTTTGTTTCCTAAGATTTGAGCCACTCAACATTGTATTCAGTGTTAAGAGTTACCCAAGCTAACTTATTTTACTTCTCTGAGCCCTGTGCACCCTCTGGTGGAGGATCTGATAAGGAAAAAAATGGCCAGGATGCTGTTAGCAAGCGAAATGGAATGTTATTGTGCAAAGTCAGAATTTCTGGCATCTTGGGATCATTTGTTCCACTCTGAGGATTTTACACCCTGGACAACTGAGATCCAGAATGAGGAAAGACAGTGGCATAGTGACTAGCTGACCAATGAACGGAAACTAGCAAAAGGGACTTATCACTTTACCTGCATTCTTCTCCACCCTGATTTCCTTTTCTTTGTCAATTCATTCTCAGAAGTAACTTTTGAGTTCTCTTTAAAAAAATAAAAACAAAAAGCAAACAAAAGAAAAAACTTAACAAAAAATGCCTGGATTCAGACTCTGTGGCTCACACCAAAAAACATCCCAGCTATATAAAACATGCAGGTTGGAAGATCATGGTTGGGCTGGCATGGGCAAAAATGGTTAATCCTATCTGAAAAGTACTTAACCTAAAGCATGAAGGATGTGTTTTGTGTGTATGTGAGAGAGAGAGAGAGAGAGAGAGAAAGAGAGAGAGAGAGAGAGAAATGGTGTATGTGTGTGTATGTATGTATGTATGGTTGGGTGAAATGATAGAGTTCTTTCCCCTGACTTCAAACTCTAGAGCACTTGGCTCTGATTTCAAACTCCAGTATCACATAAAAAATTACATAAACTATAACAGTATTTTAATTACTCAAACTCTAAATCCAAGATTTGCATAAAATGGTTTTAAAATGAACTTATTAAAGGATTAATCATGATAGGTTGTTGATATAATAAAGAAAAAGAGAAAGGAAAACAGGTATCAAGAAGAAGTGACATTAGCCTTTCAATAATCAGCACTCTTTAGAAGTAGATGCTGAAGGAGATAATTTCTTTCTCTGCCAGAAAACTAGAGCCTCCCCTTGCTCCAATGCTTCTGCTTTGCATGGATGTTTAGAGCATTTGATCCTTATTTTCATTCTTGGTGCAGAGAATCTATGGATCTAAATATTAAAAGTTCATTATTATCATTACCATTGCCAGTCCTGGGGCTTGAACTCAGGTCCTGGGCACTGTCCTTGAGCTTCTTTTACTACAAGGCTAGCACTCTACCACTTGAGCCACAGCATCACTTCTGGCTTTTTCTGTGTATTTGGTACTGAGGAATTGAACCCAGGTCTTCATGCACACCAGGCAAGCACCGTACCACTAAGCTACCTTCCAGCCCAAAAGTTCATTAATTTTTATAACACCACAAAGAAAACTGCTGAGCTGTTCCATTGTACTCATTCAAGTAGGGCTAAAGTCTTGTAATCTTCCTCTCCAGATTCAGAAAACACCATCAAAGAAATGCTAAGTACCCAGAAACACTTCTAGTCAAAGTATATAAATTCATGTGAAATTGTACTTTCAAACTTACAACACTGGGAAGTAGGGCTAGAGTATTGTAATCCTCCTCTTCTGATTCAGAAAACACAAAGAAATGCTAAGTACCCTGCCTTAAGGAAGTGGCCAATGTAACCACAGCCAAACACAAATGGCTCTCACTATAGACTCATGGCACTGACTACCAGCAGTGTAATCCGAAGCACTACACACAGCCCCAGCTTCCTATTACTGCCCTGTCTGTGCTGCAAAATGCTTTGAGGAAATACTGGAAATAAAAGTCAAACATTTGAAGTGAAACCCTGGAGAGCAGCTGAAAAAAGAGAAAAAAGACAGACTAAGATCAGTTTGTTAATTATGAAAGATGTAAAACCCACATGTAAAATTATAACTGGATTTCATACCTAGCTTAAGCTTTCCAACTACGGAAGCGGATAAAGAGAACTCTGTTGACAATAGGAACAACCTTCTACATCATCCTTTTAGAATAACCGGAATAACAGATTTCATGACCTTACTTCTCTGATAGAATTCCTCAACATAGGCCAATATGTAATTCCCACCACAAATTTTTGAGGGAAGTATAACTATCAAATTATATCATCCAAATATTGGTGGAAAATTTCATACATAGTATTTAGGAAAGTATTCCTCTAATATATAATCAATTAAAAGTTAGATATACAATAACTTTAAAATTCAATAACTTTAAAATTCGAGCTACAATAAAATTCTAGGTTCAGAATCAGTCCTAGGACCAAATCTAAGCTCTCTCTCTTATGTTATGTTTTCCTAATCTTATTTATTTCTTTATTTCTTTTATTTACTGTGTAGCCCAGGCTAGTCTTCAAGTCACAGTACCCCTGCCTCAGTCTCTTGCCTTCTCTGTTTTCCTTTCCTACTAATTAAGCATTTTATTTGAGGCAGTTTCTGGTTTTCACTCAAAAGGAAAATTATGAAAATTATGATAAATATAACAAATACTTTGATGCAAAATTATGTAGTCATAAAAAGGTCATAGCTAAGTACCAGTTGAAGTCCTGCTATTAATTTACCATCTTTCCTTGGCTCTCAATTACTTCACTTGAAAAGGAGACCAGTAACCTTAGCATAAAATGTCCCCTATTACCATATGTCATGTTAATTAGAGAGTTAGATTCGACATTTAAGATCCTTTCCAATTATGGATTTTTAAAAATTCTATTATTCTGGGTCAAAGGCAGAAAATGAAGAGGCAAGATGAGAACAACCATGATATCATGTCCAGAGTCAGCTAAGCAGCAAATAATCAAAACCTGTGTTGTGTCAGGAGCAGCAGAAAGCAGAATGGAAAAGATCCAAAATTATTGCATTCAAAGAGACATGAAGAGCCACGCAAAAGTTGAAGAGAGGCACACACTAAATTAAATAAGCAGCAAGAGGATGAGCCACTAGAAATAGGTGAATAATCCCAGAACCAAAAATATCACCCACTTGGCCTTGTCTCTTGCTCTAGAGCCCATGCCCATAGACCCTGGCTTTGAGGGTAATGAGAAATGTTCATTGAAAACAGCTGGCTGGCAGACGCTGTAGCCATCAGAACACAGTACTTGGCAGAAGTGCTTTTCTGACACTTGCCCTAAGTTACAGTGCATTACGGTTACCATTAATCATCAGCAGCATTATTAATGACATCTTCTCCCTGTGTCAAAAATAGAACTTGGAGAACCAATAAGTCTACAGCACCAAAAAAAAAAAAGGTGAGAAAAGTGAGCCAATTACTCACATAATGCACACCAGGATCCCTTTGAAGTGTATATATGACAGTGTAGAATTTAGGTGCTTTGTTGTGCTCAAAACTGAACTATCCAGAAAACTGGCATCCTGTGCTAGCCCTGACTTATCAGAGTAGGTGCAGCTGTGGAGCAACAACATAGCCCTTTCAGGAACTAAAGGGCCTTTGAAGCCTCAAGAGAAGGGAACTCAGTGGGCGAAAGTACCTACAGATCAACTGGGCCATTATTCAACAAAGCTGCCCACAACAAATGTTTTATGTTTCCTGTTTTCAGAAGAATTGACCCATCTGCAATTTTTGAACTATTTACTTAACATTTTGAAATTACATGATTAGAATGATTATTTTAAAATTCTTTGGGAGCTTTTCAAATGAACCTTTTTATTCAATTTTTTCCCCAATGCTAAATAAAAATAGAGAATTTCTTGTTACTTACTTACATTTCATTTTCTTCACACAGTAGATCTGAGAGCACCAACTGAAACACATGTTTAGAACAATAAAATCCAAACATCTCATCAATCTAATCCTTTAATACAAGCTGCGCCTAGAGACAATGTGGGTTTATGTCATTAGTTTCTTTCTTTCTTTTTTAATTAAAAACTCTGCAGCATAGTTTGTTGGTGCTGCATTTGGGTTTTAATTGAAAAAAAATTCTCTGGGTAGAATCTTAAACTTAGCAATGACAGAGGATGTAAAATGTGAACCAGATTCCTATCTTACATAATATTATGGATGGATTTGAAAACTTTGCTATAAGAACTTTTGTACACCTTGAATTATTTTTGCTTTCTTTCCACATTTTTGTTAGACAAAGGATGTTCATCATCATCATCATCATCATCATCATCATCATTATCATCATCATCACTATTATTATTGCTGTTGCTCTTGTGTTTCAATACTGGCATTAGCTTCTAGTTCCTGCCTTTTTTTTCTGGATTTTCTTGCTTGGCTTGGTGCTGTACCACTTGAGCTACACTTCCACATCTGGCTTTTTAGTTGGTAATTGGAGATAAGAGTCTCACAGAATTTTCTCTCCTGGCTGTTTTTGAACCCCAATCTTCACATATCAGTGATCCTAAGTAGCTAGGAATAGAGGCATAAGCCACCATTGCCTAGAATACTTGTATTATTTTTATGTAAAAGAATCAAGTTCCCAGCAAGCAGAAGTCAAACCTATTCACTTGAATGGGTGTTAAATACATGCATGAAAGCGTGATTTAAACTTGTTGCAATGTCAAGGTCCTTTTAAGATCATATGGAATTCCTGTTGGGATTTTAAAAACCTCTTTATCAAAGAAGAGGGAAAGTAATAACCTTCAAGAGATCTGAACTGCAATTATCTCAGTTTTCTATGTTGAGCCCTTATAGATGACATCTCAGAGCCACAGTCACAGGAAAGAAAGTACTTTATTTCCTAAAACGATCACCTGTCATCATAAGGACAAGTAAGAAGCTATAAAAACTTTAAAAGGATAGACTTGGGAATTTTGTAGGAGGTAGGTGTTTCTACCCACTTAATATCAAATGTGTCTTCTTCTGTACCTCGTATTTACTCCACCAAGTTTATCTAGGCAAAAGAGATTTGTGGAGATGTAGATGAGCTATGAATTGGCCATCAGAGAACATGGTAATGAACAATTTATAAGCACAGAAAATGAGTTGCATTCTCTTTTGCTAGAATGTGGCAAATAGATTTGCATACTAACAGAGAAGAAAATGAACATTCAAATTTTGTCCATAAAGAAACTTTATTTATGAGTAGATGCAATCATTAGGGGCTTAGCTTAAAGGATAAACAAATAAAGCCAGAATTACACTTCCAAGTCACTTCCTTGTCTTCTGGTATTTTGCAAGAAGTACATGGTCTTTTGTTATACTGCATTACTACCAATGAATTAGCTGTTAAGATTCCAGGCTATTATGAAATAGTGAGAGAAGTCTTACTATGTTATAGATGTAAAATCTTTCAGGTCCATGGTATTCAACAGAGATGCAGGTATGGGTCCAAAAGGGGTATTTAAAGCAGAGAAAGCAATTAATGTTAAAATGGCTCTGAAACAGTAAAGAATCAAATATGGTTGCAGACCAACAGTTAACATTTTTACATTAACCCAGCCATGGCATCTTGCTCCATAGCATTTTTATTTAAAACAATCATAATAAAACAAAGTAAAGTAATGGCTAAATGTATATTACATTATTTCTATAGTAACAAAACTAAATTAAGAAATTTACCATATCCATGGTAAGTCAAGAATTCATAGCATCTCAGGAAATCTTGCAGAAGAAAAGATGATTACCTGGAATAGTGGGGTGCACAAGGTTCCCATTGCTGAGATCACAGAAGTGACACTGAAGCATCTGGTTCTTGACATACCTTCAGGATAATCTGCTCAGAGACAGTGGTTGGCTGACTCAGATTATTTCCTGTTCTCTGCACTTATTAGCTGCTCTAGGTTATGTTTCCTACATAGCTGGCATGAATGATGGCTCCTCGTGACTAATGAAGTTGTGTGCTAGGAGATGGAATGTTGAATGCATGCTCCCAGGTACTGAGTTCATGGAATTTAAGTTTAAGGTCAGAACCCTGCAAGTGTTTGTCAAGGCCCTTAAACACCACCATGGAAGCTAGCTGGCTGCTTCAAATGCTGTCAACATTCCAATGTATTACAGGGAATTTGTAGAGATTTTAAAAATAGAATCTTATATTTGGAATACTTATTTGGTTTTTCTACCCATTTTTAGAGCCTCTTTTCTATTCTCATTCACATCATTCAGTCTCTGGCTGGGGCTTACAAAAAAATCAGATTGGCAAATTCAAAATGTGACAACATCCTGAGGAGGGACAGATATGGAGAGACATTCTTCCAAATACAATTGAGAATATCACACAGCTTATTTGGGAGGTAGTTAGGGCTACTAAACTAAAGAATAAATATATCATTTGTCTCAGAATTCACCTCCTAAAAATGCATACAACAGATACCTAGCTGTGATACAAATGATCAGTAATTACGATGTTTACTGTGAAAGAAACAGTTCTTAGGTTCATTCAGCAGAATAGTAGGAAGCTATGATGGCTAACCTCAGCAGCTGTTCTGAGTAGGCAGATCACAGACACTTATGTGGAGAGGACTCTAAGAGTTATTCTAGAGCACTGCAAATCGTGACCATTTTATGTACAAATGGGGAGATAATGCTATTACACTTGCTGTATATAAACCCTATACATATATTTTACATGAACACAGGAAGTCTCTGCATAAAACTGTGAACAGTAATTGTTTCTGTAAAAAGGAAAGGAAATCGGAGACTAAGAAAATAAGAAGGGGAGAGAAATTATATTTCTCAGCGTTAGTCTCTTGAATGTTTTATGTGTGTGTATACATACATATATATATTTTTACAGTGTCTATGTGTTATCTAATCATTTTATACAAACATAATTTCCAACAGCCAATTTTAAAGCCAAACACCTAGAATTCAGAAGAAGCATATTGTAGCTGAGGTTTCAGTATATTCACCAAATCCAATTCAAATGATAATACACGAACCCATTTATGATCACACACATAGATTGCAACTGAAACAAATGAGCCATATTAGTTCACTAAAATACTGCTCTGAATTGACCATTAAGGTATATAGATAGTTGGAGCTGCATCTGGACAGGCTAAGCAGGCTGTGCAGTTTCCGTGCTCTGTTTAGTATGCAGCCACAGTCACAGCCATGAATTTCAAAGCAGAGGAAGAAGGGCTCAGTGCCAATGCCAACAGGAGAAAAGTAAACCGAGCCTACAGTATTATTTGTCCCTAAGACACCCTCCATTTTGAGTGTCTCTGAAGCCTGTAATTAAACAGAATGAAAAATAGGCTTTTCACTGGTGAACTTATTTATTAGGCGGTCAGAAGGCTGACTTCCGTCAGTGGAGTCAATGATCTTAAGAATTTCTGGGAAAGGAAGGAAAGACCAGATGACTAGAAATGGAATGGAAACAAGGACAGCATGTTTAGAAATGAGCACAAAGGCGGACCAGAAACACGGATCAAATAATTCTTGTTAAAAAGTACGTGATTCCGCCGCAGGTGCCTAACATGACAACAGAATGGAGATGGAGTCGACAGTCACAGTAATATTGCAATCACCACTTCTATGGCCGGTACTAAGATAAAAAGTTACATTCATTACCCACTTCCTCATCCCAGATTACCATTTATCCATTTCCTTGCGTGACTTTCCCTTCCGGCTCCCAAAGGCCAGCATGAAAGGTTCTGCTTCAGATACTTCTTGTTCATGACCATTGGATGGAATTGCGAAAATGTCTAGCCATTCATGATACTTTATCTGAAATTTTAGCTCTTTATTGTCAGAGAATTGGAAATTTCAAATAGACTGTTAAGAACCAGTTCAGAAGCTGGGCACAGTGGCTCGCACTGGTCATCTCAGCTACTCTGGAAGTGGGAGGGTTGCCTTTCTGCAATTTCGGGTTGTACTTGAAAGATATTTTGGAAAACAAAAATAGTGAGACTCCAACTTGGTCCATAAACCAAGGATGGTGGGAAGTACTGTGGTCCCAGCAAAGTTGGTAGGAGGATCACAGTCTGACATTAGCTCAAGTGACAAATGCAAGAACCTACCTGAAAAATAATTAATGCCAAAAACGTGAGGGAAGTGGCTGGGAGCATGGTTCAAGTAGTCTACCTAGTAAGTATAAGGCCCTGTGGTGTATCCCTAGTATCTCTCTCTCTCCCTCTCTCTCCTTCTCTCCCTTTCTCTCTCTCTCTCTCTCTCTCTCTCTCTCTCACACACACACACACACACACACACAGATACATTAATATCAAATCTTCCCAAATTTAACATCTTGCATAACTATAGTAATTCTATCACACAAAAAATCTTTGACGCTGATAGGATCCACCACCCACCTAATTTTGTTATTTATGCTTATCGTTAATGCTTATGATTGCTCTTGTCTAACTATATGCTTATGAGCATGAACTTGTGATAGTAACTCTGATCACTGGCAAGTTAAACTGAGGATGAAGAACTTCCATGAAGTTGAAGATGAAGGACTTCACTCAGACCCTCTTCCCCAGGTACATTTTATGTTTGAATATAAAGGCGGGAGGAGGCAAAACTCTCAATAAGAACTCAGAGAGCAAGAGGCAGTGATTGTGTAGGAAACCACACATCCAGGATTCACTGATTTCTTACATGATGGACCTTTAATCTTCATACTTGTAATGAGAGCACAGATGCTTGCGCATTTAACTCTTCAGTGCTGGTCATTTACCCCGACCTTCTCCTTGACAGGGAAAATCAAATACTGCAGAAATGGATGGACATGGATGGATATGAAAAGTATTGTTTGGATTCAGAGTCTTGCAAAAGCACAAATTCCCTGAAGCTCTGAAGTCATTTCAGTATTTGTCCTTAAAGGTCATGACATGCAGCTGTTCAAAATGAAATAGGCACCCAAAGTCAAGGTATTAAGTTTGAATAAATCAAACCTATGAACCCAAATGGTCAGCATAACAGAAGAGCCAAAGACAAGCAAGGAGCTATTGAATATTCTCTTGAGGGAAACTGGAGGAGCAGGTTGAGGTTCTGGGATCTGGAAGACATTGGTTAAAGGCACCACTAACCAACAATAACACAGTTATCCCCTGTAAAACTGGATTTTCTTCAGTAAAGATAATTTTGGCGTATTTCCCTCAAATAATTTCACTTTAAAGATCGAATCTGAAGTATAGATATAAAATAGACATTGAACAGATATAAGGAACTAAGCACTACAGAATAAAATAAATAGTGAAATACAGAATTCCTAAAGCAGTTCAGCTGTACATGGGAATTGTTAGAGGTAGGCTGAGGTAAAGGAGTACTTACAATGCTACTTTTGCTTTCTCTCCCCAGTATGAAGAAAAACTGAACCACATCACTAAAGCAATGGCCAATCTTCATTCTTCATTTTATTTGAAGAAACTATCAGCATATAACACAATTTAATGCTTTTCTCTTTTAACCTCTCTTCATCTGGCCTCAGGCACAATACATTTTTTTGTTTGTCTCCAATGTTCAGTTTTCTCCATCTTTCTTGCCTTGACACATTAGGGGTATCCTAAAATTCAGTCATCAAATCCTTCCTTTGTTATATAGCTCACTCCCTCCTTCACTCCTTGTAGATTATCACCCATAGTCTTATAACTCTCAACCTCATACCTTCCACCTAAATCTCTTTCCTGAACCATATAATCAAACACCCACCATGTACAGGTTTGTTAAACTTCTACAAATAAACTTAATTCACACATAACCTCATCTTTCCCATTTACCCTTTTTCCCTTACAGACTTTTCCTGTTCCACTGAATTACTACTCTTTTCTTTTGGTTGTTCAGACTAAAAGGACTCTGTGTGTGTGTGTGTGTGTGTGTGTGTGTGTGTGTGTGTGTGTGTAACTATTTGTGACTTTCTTACCCTGCTTCCAATCAATCAGAAGTAGCCTTTACTTTCACAATATGTACAGACCTTCACTACTTTTCATTACCTTTACCAACAATTCACTTAAATTATTCATGAATGGCTATCACCTGTCACTGAAATTACTGCAATAACTTCTTAGTGAGTACTTCGTATTTTATACTTGTCCACCTGCAGTCTGCCCTCAATATAGCAGGGAAAGTCATGCTTTTAACTATAATTCAGATCTTGTCATTTCTCTACACAAAATCTGTTGAGTTGCTTATTTTCCTCAAAGTTGAAAAAATCAGTCTTTGCAGTTTCTTACAAAAGCCTTACCAGACCAGCTTTCTTCCCTTTCTAGACTCAGACTTTACTTATCAATTGGTCCACTCTTTCCTAGCTCTCTTTGGCCTTCTTGGTTTTCCTAAATAACCAAGACATCCTGCTGCCCCATTGCTCTATATTCACATCTTTCATGTGCCTACATGGTTTACTCTTTCACCTCCTTAAAACCTTTGCTGGTAAGTTGCATTCTTTCTGAGACTTTTCTCTTTTCTTTTCTTTTCTCTTACTTTGGCCAGTCATGGGCTTGAACTCATGTCCAAGGCACAGTCTCTGAGCTTCTTTTGCTCAAGGCTAGCACTCTATCACTTGAGCCCCAGAGCCACTTCCAGCTTTTTCTGTGTATGTGGTACTGAGGAATCAAATCCAGGGTTTATGCATGCTAGGCAAGCACTTTACAACAAAGCCACATTCCCAGCCCCTCTCTGAGGCTTTTCTGACTGCTATATCTGATACTGAAGTGATGATTCTATCCTCTTTTTGTAGTTCATATATTCCAGAGAATTTTGGAAAATGCAGTTTTGTAATACCAGAGAGATAATTTTTAAAATTATTTTTTCCCTCTGAAATGTCAAATTCATAAACAAAGGGCTTTTGTCTTTTTAAAAAAATATGCATCTCCGGTACTTTGATGTTCT